AAAAAAATGTTTGTCCTCCAATATTTCCCTAGGCAAGAGTGAAAACCTTGAGATGCACACATGATAAAGATCTCATATAACATGGCATTTGAATTGCTTCCAGTTGGGACAAGAGGCCAAGATATCCCATGACAGATACTCACCAAGAGGAACCACCAATACACATTTACAATACAGAATTGGAAAGCATAGCCAAGTGCTTCAAGGCTCAGCAGAGGAAAAAACTGTAAATGTTTATGACACAGGAAAAGTGTGCGTGTGTGAGAGAGACCAATATTGAATATCTGACGGTTGATTTCCATAATACAGCACTTCCACACCATCATTGTCACCAGTTTCCAACCTCTCAAAAACAGTTTGAAAATTATTTGAGATTATTCATCTTCAGTTTGGTTAATTCAGATATGTTAAGAATTAAGAATTAAAAATAACTGCTCTGCATAAGTTTCTTCAGATCTGCAGCAACAGAAGCCTAAGCATAAAACTCACAAAATCTTGCAGCTTCATTGTCTAAGATGAAGGTAAGAGTTTGGGGCAAAGCTGTCAGGTCAGCATTGTCCTTTCAGTATCCAGTTCAGGTTACCAGATGAGTAAACAAATGTCTTAATTACGGTTGATTGTAAGTTGGCTCTACTGAAGGGGCCAGATTATGTGGAAACATAAATTAGAATAGATCTATGAATGGTGCTAACACCTTGGATTAAAATGTCTGTGACTGAATTTTGATGTACAATACAGTGACCTTCTGAAGTTATAACAGCATTGGGGGGGGAAAATGACTTATGACTGTTTTTCACATTTATGACCACTGCAGCATCCCCGTGGTCATGTGATCAAAATTCAAATGCTTGGCATCTGAGATATATTTATGGTGGTTGCAGTCTCCTGGGGTAATGTGATTGCAACCTTCTGACAAGTAAGGCGAAGCCAGGTTCACTTAAAGTGACACTAACTTAACTGCAGTGATTCACCTAATCACTAAGACACTAAAGGTTGTAAAATGGGAAAAACTCACTTAACTGTCTTCCTTAGCAATGAAAATTTTGGGCTCAACTGTGGTTGTAAGTCAAGGACTATCTGTATATCTAGCTATTTTAAAATACTGGAGGAGGGGGATTTTACATAGCAGCAACTTTATGCCACTCACAGCGCAGTAAATCAGAAAAGATTTTTTGTTACTTAGTCTGGATTTGTAAAATCGAACTATAAATTGGGGCATTTACAAAATACAGCTCTTCCCAAAATTCACAAAATTAAGATTTATGTGAGAATAGAATTATTCATTTATGCTATCTAAATCACAAAAGTAAGTCAGAGCAGCTTACATAATAATCACATGATATATCACTTCAGAATGTAAAAGGAAAGCAACATATTTGAACACTGTCCCTATCAAAAACTATTTAGGAAACTAGCACATTTTGGACACAGTTAAGCAAAACCTCCTTTTCCGACATGCTTTTTTTACAAGAGTGGGGTTTTTTTTATGCGATCAGTCAACCATTCAACCTGTATTACTGCTCATGTAGATTATCCATTTTCTTCGTTTTGTGAAATAAAAAGAATTTTAATAAGTCTAAAGAATTTCTCTTCTTTAGAATGAAGGTATTTATAAATGATCGTTACAATGTGCATTGAAAACAATGTAAACATTTTCCTCTAACCAAGTTCTGAAATCCCCACCAATAAGTCACTGTAAGTTAAAACCAGTGAGGTCAAAGTTTCAAAATGGATATACAGTGAGTTTGTTAATGCCTCAATTCCAATCTTGTTTGTGCATATTTGCTGTATGTATACATCAGTAACTGATACATGTTGTCCCAACACACAGCTTGAATTGCTTTACCGTTCTCAAAAGCCTTCTCACAATTCATGACAATTACATTCAGTGTCATCCTGACTAAGACAAGTTGCCACTTACCCAGAAAACAGAACCACAAAAATGTTCCAAAGTTGCTGCTGCCATGACCAATGTTCTCTCCTCCAGCAGTTGCCAAACTATTCTGTCTAACCCAGGAAGCCAGGGTAAAAGTCCCAAGTGTTCAGCAAAGCAGTATTAGGAACCTGATAAAATACCATTAATCTTTAACCCTATAATCAAACTCAGGAACTGTGGAAAAGAGCTGCTGGCATTTTCCTAAGACTTGGGAGATATAAAATTAATGGACCTGAGTGGAAAGTAACAATGTACTGGATAAAATTTTAAAAATATATGATAAATACATTTTTTGAAGTCCTCCTTCTCCAGGGACAATATGGGTGAAATATACATGGAAAGAATTCTTTTAGCAGATTAGTTCTGCACAGGGAATCCACAATTTGAAGACTATGTCTTCAAGTCAGTTTTGACTCATTGGTGGCCTGGAATAGTCCAAGCAATTCTTTGGGAAGTGGTTTGCCATTTCCATTGTCCTAGGGCTGAGAAAAAGTGGCTGGCTCAGTGACCTATCTGAATTTGTGCCTCAGGCAGGAATAGAATCATGGCCTCCCAGTTTCTATCCTAGCACCTTAACCATTACACCAAACTCTTTCCCTACTTACTCTCTTCTCCAATTTATTTCCAGCCAGCAATGGTGATACCAATTTCAGAAAACTTCAGAAACCACTGAAAAAATGAACACCGTGAAAAGGATTTTCTTTCATATACTGTAAAAAAGACTAAACCCAGAGCAAATGATGATTTAATTCTAAGGAAAGTATTTGGTGCCCATAGGATGGGGAATTTATATCCCTTGGTTAATTAATTAAATATCAACATATTTTTGAAAAATGTCTATACTGCAGACTGGCATTCGGTTTGAGGGTGAGACATAATCAGTAACTGGCTGTCTTATAATTCCTGAGAATTTTCTAAGAATGCAAAGTCATTGCACTGAGATGTTCCTTTTCCCACATCTTCTATGTTTGAAGAGAAGAGAAAGGGTTAATTTTATGCAGCAAACAGTCTATCGCCTTCTTTTACAATGCATGGCTTGCACAATATAACATCTGACTAAAGTCTCTTGAACTCTTGCAACTTTGGCTAAATGAAAGCACAATTATTTATTGAACTTTTCTGACCTTGTTTTGTTCTGTATTCTTCTTACACAACTTTAATACTTCCACATGCTGTTTGTTTGATGTGTTTTATACATTATGCTATGACATTGGTATTTGGGGATCTGTACAAGCCGACAGTTCGTTTCTAAACCCAAATGATAAAAATGATATTAAAGGGATGTGCATATGAAGCTAGTCGACAAACATCAATAAGCCTTCAAATTAAAAAAAAAATGTCCTATTTAAAAGTTCAATAAGACTTGAGACTAGGTTATTTGACAGGACCATTTCCTACATTATTAACCTGATACAATCATTGTATCAAATCCTCTTTCAGTTGTTCTACCTACAGTAAATGAATCCAACCTAGTGGCAGCAGGAAAGTGATGTGGTAAGTCTTCACGTATGGAATGTTCTTCTTATAGAGTTCCTTGCTCGGCATACATTGTGGTCTTTACAAGGGAAGATGTTTTAGTTTTCTTGGACATTTCATTTCAGTCCACAAATCACTCTGATTAACTTTTATTTTTTTAAATATTTCTATATTATGTGAAAACAATACAGGTAGCTCTTGAATTATGATCATTCATTCAGAGAATGTTCAAAATTGTGAGTACTGAACAAAGAGACTTACAATCTGAACAAACAGACTTACAAGTTCTGGCCCTTGCAGCTCCCCATGGTCACATGAACATTTGGGTGCCTGGCAACCAGTTTCGACTTACGACCCACAATCACATGCTTGCTATTGGTGACATTCTCTGTCAACTTCCTACAAGCAAGTCAATGGGGAAGCCAGCAGGAAAGGACCCAAGTCATTTGGGTAATTCTCCCCCTCACCCGGACTTTCTTCACTTACATGCGCTTCAACCTTCTTCCCCCTTTTCTCACTCTTGTTCAATGACCTTGTTCCCCAGCTCCCTGCACCCAAACACACATATGAACTCACCAATGCCCTCCTTCCTCAGCCTCCCTGCACTCATTCAGCCACACACTCACCAGCACCCTTCTTTCCTGGCTTCCGTGTGTGTACACACACACACAAAAATTGTTCCTCTTCCTTAGGCCTCTCTGCATTTGCACACATGCATATCTGCACCCCATGTCCTCTTTCCCCAGCCTCCCTGAGTTCACACTGCATTGCCCTCCCCCAACTTGCTCGCAGCCTCCCAGGGCCTCCCCACACCCAAGGCATCCTTGTGGTCCTTCTCTTGGACTCCCTCCACTTTCCACTTAATGATCTGCATGTTTTGGGGTTCTATGACAACTAGGCCTGCCTGGGTTGCTGTCGCAAAGTGATGTGGTCACATGACATCACACTTTATGAATGCATCGCTTTGTGACAGCAATCCCAGTCCCAATTACCATAGTAACTAAGGGACTACCTACTTGTATAGCTATAGGAAGGTTTACCCTGATAGCTAAGAATTCAAGGAAAAATGGAGGTAAACTTTTCAAAAAAAAAAAAAAAAGTTTGTACTCTTCCCTATTCATTTCTTCATCATTTGTGACGGATGAAATCAATCTGCTACAAGTTTGGATATTGCAAAGGTTGCATTGCTCACTCTTGCCTTACTGATCCTTTGTTATACTTCCCAAAGGATGGAACATAGTAAAACCCCTACCAACCTTTACTTTCTTGTCCTATGTGAAAGGATCCAATTTGTGGGAAACATTAGGCCCTTTAAATTTTCACAACCTGGAATCAGTTACAAGGCATTGCACTGTTTTCCCACGCTGTTCTCGCTCTTTTAGCCATCCATTCTGTAAATGAAAAGAATTACCTCTCACCCACTGCTAAATTCCATTTCAGTCCTGCATTCCACAGAAACAGAGGCCTGAATTTTCATTCAAGTGAACTAAGAAGGGAAGCATAATATACTCACCTCTCTTGCCTGCCTGGAATAAACACCAAGTCCCTACCCAGGCTGGACAAAACAGATGAAGAAGGGCTACAGTGATGAAAATCAGCCTCATCATTTATTTGAAAAGTAAAAGTCTAAAAGGAGTTTCACCCAGTGATGAATGCCTCTTTAGCTAGTATCATGCCTCCCTCGAGTTTGCTCCTCATAGACAAATGATGTCACACTATTTAGTGAAAAGACTGCTTGAATGAAGACTAGGAAGTGGGAAGAGGAAAAACACCCACATCACCATCTTCACTGGACTCATCCAAACGCTACTGAAATGTCTACACTTAAGGAATGGGGAAGTCAGGCGATAGTAGGTCTTCCTGTCCCATATCCTCTTCTTTTTCTACAGGACGTTCTTTGCAATGGCATTCAGGGTCCTCACTTTAGTCACATCTGCTACCATGCTAGAATGCTCAGGTGCAGAGAGAGAGGTTCCCATCTTAACACTGGAGTTCCTAAAAGAAAAGCAACAAGTCATTAAATGTTATCTAAAAAGTATATGAGTAATCCTCAGGGTACAAACAGTCAACAGCTGTTCAAAGTTATAACATCCCCTCCAAAGCTACATATGACCCCCTTTTGCCCTTACAACTGATCATACGTTATATATTATCTGTAATTCAGTACCAATGTAATGTAAGCATCCCCCTGCCTCACTCACCCCCCCCCCCCCCCCCCCCCCCCTGGAACCCTGCAGCACTTGGGCCTGTTCCCCCCTTGGGGGCAGAACAAAATGGCAGTTGTAGGACAGACCACTCTGGCTGCTGTAACAATCCCTGCAGCACCCTGTGCTCCACTTAATGACCTGCATGTTCATATAACACCTGCCCTGGGGGAAGCAGGGTTGGGGTTAATTAAGTGAGATCCTTCACTTTATAGAAATCACAACATATGACCATAATGGGCAGATCTTCATTATAGTCTTATTTCAAGGATGACCTGGATCCAGAAAAACAACAACAGGAGAACAACTTCAAACCTATTCTTATTTGGTCAATGCACAGCATTTATCAGAACACCTCCTGTTGTCACTTTACTGAAAGACCAAAATGCCAGTAGCTGCTTCAGTAGACGCTTCCTTGTTACAGCTAAGAAGTTAGGAACTAGAGATGAATTTTATTGCAATGCATCCAATGCTTTTATTCAGTTTACAAACTGTAAAGTTACATTAAGTAGTACGTATAACAAGATTAAGGCAGGGAAGATCTTGCTCTATTACCTGAACTTCATGCTTGAGTTCTTGGCTGAGCGAGCTGAGCAGTGAAATTCAGAAGCACCAGAGCCTTCTAAAATTCTTTGTAGGTTTCTCTCTGTTATGCCTCCCCCTGTTGGAAATAACCCATCTCTGAGTCACAAATGAGAAGTTAAGCATAAGTGTTCACAAAACAAAGCCAATTTTCTCTGGATATTAGAGGGAATCTCTGCTCTGAATCTGTGATTATTTCTCAAAAATACTTTAGCTTTTAATGTCAATGGATAGTGAACTTGTATCTTTTCAGCAAGTAAATCTGCTAAATAGTATTCCTCCTCAAAAACCAATCACTGTTGTTTTTCCTTCATGGTATAGATAGAGTAAATTAAATAAATAAAATGGTATAGATAGAGTAGAATAGTAATACTGATGCTAGCAAAGTTTTGAGAGGGGATAGAAATGAAGTACAATAGACTCTCATCCAAAAACTAATATAGTCTTATCAATACATTGCTGAACTATATCAGCTAATGGCACTCATAACAAACTTACCTGGTACAATAATAATCCTGTCCTTTGCCTATAAAGAGAAAAAGGATTAGTAACCTTACTTGTAAGGAAAATATAACTCACATAAAATCTTCAGATATCAGACTGACAGCTGGCTGGCATTTTCTCTATTCTGAATTATCAGGGGGAAAAAAGGATAAATTATCAGCAAAATTACAAAATGGGAGAAATGAAAGCTCACCTGTTCTATCAGCCGCTTTATCAAGGGCAGCCCCTCCAGGGCAGAGCTGTCACAACCACTAGTTAGCACCCGTTCAAAACCTATGGATATCAGTGTTTCCATGGCTGTTACAGGATCACAGACCATGTCAAAAGCTGCAGGGGAATTAAAACTCTCTTCGTTAAGACTAATTACAATTGATAAAATATTATTTTAGATAAGCTTTTAATTTTAAACAATATCAATCTTAGTTCTGGTATAAGAAATACAAGATTAGCAAATAATAGTTAACAAATGTATTGGGAAAGGGAAAAAAACTCAAGAGTAAAATATAATATTTTATAAGATTCAAAAGACAGAGATAGGCCTGCTCTCCTAACTTTTAAATTTTATTACTGTGTTAGCGGTTTGTCATGGATAATCAAATGGATAACATTCCTGAGCAGCATAATGTCAATATAAGACATTAACGTTTAAGAGATGATACACAACTCTGCTCATAACGGCAAAAATAAATATTTAATTAAAGTATAGAGTTTTGTGGTGGTTTTCAATTATTTCCTAGAAAGTCTGGTTTTATATATTCAATTATTTAAGCAATGAAATAATTAATTTTAAATTTTATGGAAAGCATACATTTTCTGGTTTTTATTGATATTTTATTTTCATTTTTATTTTAAGCACTCATTTATTTTATTCCTTAAATATTTTAATTTTTTTAATGTTCAAAAGAAAAAAAGCTACATTGGAACAAATCAGTCTGTATAAAAAAATCTACTAATAAGAAAAGTCTAACCATTCAGGCAATATAAACATTTGTAATAAATAAACAATAGGATATTGATCATGAGTCTGGAGCTCAAACCGAGACTAAAGCCTCCACGCCCTCTAGGAGGAGGCAGTGATACCTCAGATCACATTCTCACAATCCCCAACTGGCCTGCATTTTTTTTCCAATTCCCTTTCTAAACTATAAAACTCACCTCTATGGAAGGTGACTGGCAAAGGGCGAGAAGCAGCTGCAAAGGAAAGACCTATAATTAGTAACAATCTCATGCTGAGATAAAAACATGTCTTTTTCTTTCAAGACTTTTCAGAAAAAGGGCAGCTTGTGTAATAGTTCAGCTAGGCTACCTTAAGACTATTTCTACAATCTATATCAGCTTCTAACCAAGACATCTTTTCAAGACCTTTTGTATATGAAGTTCCTTACAACTATTATGCTCTTGTACCTATTGAAAAGCAATCTTAGAATCAAAGAAGCATCTGTGAGAGAGAGGGCAACCTTTACATTTGATATATAAATTAAATAAATAAATATTTCAACTCTTCTCTGTAGATAACATGCCAATAAATCATTCACAGAATTAAATGAACGCTTGTTTTAATGTTTTAAGTGACTTGGGAACCAAATACCCGAAGGACTGTCTTTTACAGTAGATACACTAATTTTTTTAACACGAAGAAAAGGCCTTTTCTTTGTATCAATCCAATTTTGTGACATTTCTCCTAAAAAATTGCTCGATTATTTTACTATATGACTATATTTTTGTTTCAAATATTTCATTAATTTATCAAAATATAAAATACGGAAGTACAAAGAAAAATGAAAATAAGGGGAAAATAAGAGAGGAAAAGGGGAAGAGAGAAAAGTGTAGGATAAGGAGGAAAAGAAAAAGAAAAACATTGACTTCCGACTCTTTTTGGTGCAGTAGAAAAACCTCAACTTTTATATAATAATATATACTGGCTGTATAACTATATTTTCAGTGTCAGATCAAAATAATTTGATTTGTCCATACATTGTAAATAGCTGCCTTGCCTTCATTGTTCGTACCCTTTCAATTTTACAGCTAAAATTATATTTATTTTTATAATGTACCATGGTCTATCTTGTCACTTTGAACTTTTTTTTCCTCTATAAATTTGTAGAACCCATTCTTATGCAGAACTGTCTAGAAATTATGAACATAAAATGAAATGAAATCAAAAGGCTTCATTAAAGATGCTGAAAGCTGCCGGCTGAAAAGTCTTTAAGGGTTATGAGTGATTGGGAAATATTCCGATTTCTTTTTCTCTGGGCCCTGGGATTAGAAAAAAAACCCACAACTATATGATTCATCTTATATGAAAAAGAACTAAAAATGGGCTAATTCTAATCATAATATCCCTACAATACCCCTAGGTGAATGGGAAGCAGTTATTGTAACTTTCCTATAATCATACCTCAACAATACATCCATATCAACTCAGAAGAATGAGCCTGCTTCTCCCAAGCAATAAGGGGGTCATAATATCTACCTATAAGGCCCCATTGGGTTTTTTATTATCTGAAATTTGGATTTACTAAAGTTATGGTCACAGAAATCAAATAAATCCTACGGAAAGCAGGATTCTAACCAAGCAGTGCCGTGCAGAGTTCCATGTCTACATAGCCATCTTCAGTCAAAGCTCCAAATACCAGCCCATCCGCTCCATACTGCTTGACAAGTTGGATGTCAGCTTTCATCACCTCTATTTCCCGGTCAGAATAAAGGAAATCTCCACCACGGGGGCGAATCATCACAAATATAGGGATTTTTGTACATTGCTTCACTACTTGCAAAAGACCTATAAATAATAAAAGAGGTAAGACACATCAGTTAAAAGTTGGCATAGCACATGAATATGACATGACAGTAAAACTACACTATAACAAAAGATAATGATACCAACCCAAAAGAACTAGTTCCTCAGTTCTGCTTCCTGCAGCAATAATCCAAAAGAAAAAAAAAAGTTCTTACCTTTTTCTGAAGAGGTTGGTAAGTAAAAGGGATGTTGAAGAAGTGCACATGAACAAAAATGAAAAAGTCTTAACCTGCTTCTAAAAAGCATAACATTACATAACATGCCATAACATTCCGGTCAGAAAAGTAACATCTTCCTTTTTATCTGACAGTTGGAATGCTATAGACCAAGGACTAGTTTATAACATTTTATAGCACTATTCAGTTCTCATCACTGTAAAGGCTGAGATGCTGGTTCCAGCTTGTCAACTCACCAATACTTGGTGTAGTTCCACCCTCCATTAAACTGGCACATAATTCAAGGCGACCAGCACCTGGAAAAGATACAGATCTACTGTTTGAAAGCAAATGTTAGGAACAATACATTTTTTTGCTGTAACAGAAATGTTTCTGGACATTCCTGAAAGTTAATTTACAAGGAAAGGGCTTATTTAATGTCCTCATTTGGACTTCTAAGAAGCAATAAATATGTGGTTTCAAAAAATGAATATGCATTCCATACGATTTGCTGAGGGACCGATTAAAGTAGAACAACACAAAAACTCTAAAACAGCTGTATATGAATTATCTATTCATATACATTTGCACCTTGTCTGTGTCAGAGCACACAAAAATTGAAGGTATATAGGTTTTTACTTTATAACATTACACATCTTGCTTTTCCTTCCAAAAGAATTTCCAAAAAGGCTTCATAATGCTTTTTCCAATAGCCCATGTTCCCCAGAGGTAGGTCTCTCAGTATCTTCAACTTCTATTTTATGGAATTACCTCCTCTTTCAGCGTTAATGGCAGATTCCACTGAATCAACACATACTTCCATAAGAAAGCCATTGGCCATTTCTTGAAGAGAAACACAAAGCAGAAGTTATTGGGCAACTTGAGAAAAGGATAAGGCAATTAATGAAAAGTGAAAATACTGTATATCTCAAATGGTAGCTCTCACTCAGTTTCTTCTGCATAATTAACCCAAATATATCTGAACTCAAAACTCAGAAGATTCCTAGATTTCCATTTAATAGTTAAATTCTGTCTACACTATTATAAACAACACTGTGTAAACAACATACCTAGGAACTATTAGTGAAAAGCTAAAACTTTAATAAAAGACTATTTCAACCACCTCCATATTACTTTTGAAGACAGAATGAATATAAACTTCTGAAGAAAATATCTCAGCACATTCATGCATTACATACAATAATTAAGGTAATTCAATAAAGGTCAGGCTAAAGATTTTCCTTAAGCACAAAAACAATTAAGATGAGGGCATAGAGGGAGAGGTAACAGCAATAATAATTTTGCTTATTAAAGATCCAATTTTTTTCTTCATGTAAAAAGATTCTACTACAGTACAATGAGCACAAACTGATTTGGCTTCCCTCTCACTTTTTTTGAGATAATTTAAAGTGTTTTGGCTGTTTTATAGAAATTACAAAGTTGAGGAAAGATTTGGCATCCACAAAAGTGATGAATATATAATTCTAGGCTATTGCAGAAAGATTTTAGACACATAAAGACTGACCTGTGATTGCTAATAAGTGACATGAAGACTTTTGATTATTTTGTATTTCTTACACAATTGTCTACGATCAACTTTCTGACTATAAGGCAAAATAACCACGATTTTGATAACTCTAACTACTCTAACTTAGCCTGAAAACTAAATATAACTTTATAAAACCTGATTGTAACTGTATTATTTTAACAGAAGGGGAAACTGGAGACCAATTTATTTATTCATCAGAAAAATACTGAAAGTCTTTACTATCTGTGTGTTTCCTCAATGAAAGTAGATAATTTGGGAGGATGGTTTTCACTAGCACCACGATGGGGGAAGAAGCACCGAACTCCACCACTTTACCACTCTGATCCCTCAGCACATGTGCTGATGCCAATTTCTGTGTGTCAGTACACACCACACCCTCTTCGAAGATCTAAAAAGCATGCCAAGAAGTTCCCCTAATAATCTCTTCTACAGCTAAGGATCATTTCAAATGGATTAATATCAGCAGTGCAATCCGATACATGTAAATCCCAAGCCCAGCAGAACTTGCTCAGAGTTGCGTGCCTATCTGAGATCAAAAACCACCGACTTTCACAACAGAGGTGTATTAACCATTAAGCAGACGAAGCACGTGCTTAGGGCACCAGGCCCAAAGGGGGCACCACAAAAACTTTTATGTAGCCTAAGGTTGGCTTCGTTTGTACACGATGTACAAAGGAAGGGGGCACCAAGATTTGTCAGTGCTTTAGGGCACCAGTGAGCCTTAATTCGCCACCGAGTGTGAATTTAGACACACAAAGGATTATTCTTTAAAAAAAAAACATCAGCCCCCTTATCTGCGGTGCCTTTTCCGTTTAGTTTTCTGGGGAGGATGAAGCTAAGCGCAGCGAGCAAAACCCGGCAGAATTGGGGCAACAGCGAAACCTCCCCACTGCCTGACTTGCTTCTCTCGAAGCTATTCTGAACCTAAAGCCCCCAACTTTAGGGAGCTGCGCGCACACTTAAGGGTATGTGGTTCAACTCCGCCTTCCTAAGCCTCATGATCCCCTCCGGCCCCCGTTCTTAGTTTCGCTTCCGCCCACTCACCCTCGCACCCTCCCACCGGGCCTCGTTTCCGGTCCCATTTCCTCATTTACGTTAGTCACTGGGGGGGGGGGGAGAGCTCCGCCGGAGGTGGCTTTAAGGTTGACGGGACTGCTGGGAAAGGGAGAAGGCCACGCCCCCAGCTCTCACCTGTCTTGACCATGAACGCGGGGAAGGGCCGTGCCAACCATCACGTGATCCCATAGAACTTGCTGCACTTCGTTTCCGGGGAAAGTTGTCTTACTTCCGGTTAGAGGAAAGCTATTTCCGTGCGGTAACTTGAAGGATGCTCTTACGAACGGCACTACTAGGAGGTACTCGATTTTTGCTGGCACCCCGGCAAGCAAATTCTTCCGGCCAGGTAATTGCACAGTAGAGTATGATTTTCTTATCTCTAAAGTTAGGGCTATCATATCTGGGCTGCAAACATTAAAAATTAAATAATTAGATTGATTTTTAAAAAAATATTTTATTCTGTCCTGCACTTCCATGGTCATGCAAAGTCTTACACCCAAGTACACCCAAAATGTATAATTTATGAAGTGACCTTGGATCATGTTTCTATGATAATCAGGGTGCCGTGTTGAATAATATATCCTCAATGCAAGTATATCATCCGAACCAAGGATTGCTTACTTTCAAGTACTTCTGTTTCCCAGAAAAATAGTCTCAATTTACTCTAACACATTCCTTTAAAATGGAACATGTACTTTCTGCATAGCTGGGATTTTAATGTAAAAAAAGGGGAAAGGCTTTATTTCAGCAAACCAAAATGTAATTTTTCTTTATTTAAAGCATGTATTTTATGCTTTTCAACATTGAAAACAGCTTATTAGATAGCAAAAATAAGATAAAATCTACTCTTAATTATTGGTCCAAAAATAGTGCTACATGGAGCTGAAATGGAGTAGCAATGGGAGGAGGGGAGCTTACCAGTTCTTAACGTTTTCTAATCCCTATAATGGCTGGCAGTGATAAGAATAGGATGCTTAGAAAACTTGGTTATATCAACATCTCCAAAATAAGATGGTTTTGCTGATCTGCCTTACAATGTAATGTAAAGACTTACAATGCCTTACAATGTAATGTAAAGCCAGCCAGTTTAAGAGGCAGATAGTGTAACATACAGATAAGCTTTGACTTACAACCATTCATTTAGCAACTGTTAAAAATTATATCAACACTGCAAAGAGTAATGATCGGTCCTCATGCTTACTACTGTTGCAGCATCCCCACAATCACATTATCAAAATGTGTGTGCTTTGCAACCAATGTATATTTATGTTGCAACATCCTGAGATCACATGATCACTATTTGCAACCTTCCCAGCTGGCTTCCAACAGTCAATGGGGAAACTAAACTCACTTAATGACCATATGATTCACTTAATAACTGCAATGATTCATTTAACATCCAGGGCAAAAAGGTTGTAAAATTGGATGCAACTCACTTAACATCCATCTTGCTTAGAAACAGAAATTAATTAAATTGAGGACTACCTGTACTATATATGTAACTCATGATTGAATTGTTGGGATTTGTTGTTCACTGAGTTTACTTTTCTTCTTGCAGACATTTAATTACAAGGCAACCATATCAGTGCCTCGTAATTAAGCATCTGCAAGAAAAGCTCAAAGGACAAGAATCCAGAATAAGATGATAAAGATGGTAGTTCCTTACTATTGGTTTCTTTTCTCTTTGAGGTACTTCTGAATGTGGTCATTTCCAGAAGGAAAAATTGATGATACACATATAAAAATATCATTATACAAATACCCTGGCTTGCATATTTGATCAGATATTGGGATACAATGATACACGTTTTACAATTGCATGATGACATTACTGTATATGTGTTGCAATTTGCCATCATTGTTTGCTGTGGATGTTACTGTTTCTGAGAAATCTGCCCAACTGACTTCTACAATAAAATATAAAAAGTTGTTCTAAGCTTCGTGGATGAATCAGTTGACATTCTAATGCATCTTTTTCCATTAGAACTCTTGTGAATGTGTTTTTTCTTGTGCTTTTTAAAAGCACAATAAGTTCTCCTTTAAGTATACCTTAAGTCAGTATTTTTCAATCTTGGCAAATTGAAGACATATGGACTTCCACTTCCAGAATTCTCCGGCCAGCATAGCTGGCCGGGAAATTCTAAAAGTCAAAGTCCACATACCTTCAAGCTGCCAAGATTGAAAAACATTGTTTTTAAGTGATATATTGAAAGCCACTTTGGTGTAGTGGTTAGGCTAGAAACCAAGAGACAGTGAGTTCTACTCCCATCTTGGGCACAGAATCAGCTGGGTGGCCTTGGGCAGGTCATTAATCTCTCAGCCCTAGGAAGAAACCCAAGAAAACTGTAGGGAATCTATTCAGCTGATCTTTAAGAATCAGACGTAATTGAACGGAAGAAAGAAAATGATATAACAAAAAAAATTGAACTATAAAATGCATCTTTCTAATGGTTGTGGTTCTTTTTTTTACTAACAGTTATATCTTCAGTCCAGGCAAGTAGGAAAAATATTTCATACTGCACTGTACCAAATATTTATACAAAGAATTGCTTGTATAGTTAATAAGTGTCTTACCACCTTCTTTGCCTTTAGCAATGTCTGAGGTGGTGGCAGCTCCTGCAGAAACGGGCACAAAACAGTGCTGTGTCAGAAGCAGCTTCACATTCCAGAGTGGCAGTACCACCTGTACCCAATGCTGTGACAGACCAAACCATAGGACGTTGGCTCATAATCTGCAGCGGTACTGTGGCTGGAGCTGTGGTACTTGGTGGCATTACTAGGTGAGGAAATTTACTATCTCATCCTCAACTCCCCCATTTTTTTCTCACAATATATGCATCATATTCAATGGATCTTTTTATATCCAAAAATATCTTTTTGCAATTTCCTCATAGCTTTGTTGTGTACTTAGTGTCTCTTCAAGAATGTTTAAAAAAATATGTTCCCTTTGTCATTCTTTTTTTGTCTTTGATTATTTAGGTAGGAGTTCTGTGTCTTAATGTTTGAGCTGAGCATGTCATTTAAAAGTGCAAACTTTTATATCAGTGACCTTTTATATCAATACTCCAAAGTGTTTAAAATAATCTTGTTTCCTTTTCTCTTGGAAAACATATGAGATATGTACATTATTTTTACTATGTATGCATATCTTAAGTATTTCTAATCACTAATAGGTTTGTGTGTAAATCCCCCCACCAGCTTTGCATCTATCTACGTCTCTGCATCAATTTCTAAGTTGTCATGTTATAACTCTGCTTTTTTAGATAGGCACATCTAGCATATTTTATCGTGAAAGGACGTTCTCCCCTGATAAATAGTTTCTTTGTTCTCTTTCTAAGGTTGACAGAATCTGGGCTCTCAATGGTTGACTGGCACTTAGTGCGGGAGATGAAGCCTCCTCAAACACAGGAGGACTGGGAGGCAGAATTTCTGAAGTATCAGCAATTTCCAGAATTTAAAATGTATGTATGTTTCGTGTTTAAGTTCTTTCAAACTAAAGTTCCATTAGGAGGAATTCTATTATTAGGGTGGGAAAGGGGGACTTTGGCGGCTTTTTTTGAGGGAGTTTTAGTTGAAAATTAGAGATAAATTATTAAACTTTGTGGCTTTTTCCCCCTCTATTTTGAAAAAAAAAATCCCAATACAACAGCCTGAACCATGACATGACACTGACAGAGTTCAAATTCATCTGGTACATGGAGTACTCACATCGTATGTGGGGGCGACTGGTAGGGTTGGCTTACATCCTTCCAGCAGCCTACTTCTGGAGAAAGGGCTACTTGAGCCAATCCTTGAAAGGTCATGTCCTCGCCCTGTGTGGGCTTGTCTGTTTTCAGGTAGGAATTTAGAAATAAATGGTTGTGGGTATTCTTAAAATAATTGAGACAAGCAATGAAAAATAGTAATATCTCAACATTCAAACGGCTGGTATTGAGTTGTATGTGAGTCAAAGCCTGTAATTTCTGATAGCTTTGAAGAAGCTTGAAGTAATTGTGCTAGAGATGATTATTCAATGAATGAATGAATGAATGAATGAAAGAGAAAAGGAAGGAAGGAAGGAGGGTGGGTGGATCAGGCTGTGAACATATCCTGTTGTTTATTTAAATTCAATTCAAGGCTAACTCAGAAGCAACCTCCCAAAACATTAGGGATTCCACAATCAACCTACTCCAAGGCCTGGGAGAACAGCCAAGTTTTTTATAGTTTCTTGAAGATCCTTAAGTTAAAAACCACATGGATCTTTGGTGGGAAGTCATTCCAGAAGGCAGGCCACAAAGAAAGTCAATTTCCTGGGTTACACATGATGTCATTGTTTAACCAATGTGACCTAGAGCAGCAGTCCCCAACCTTTCCACCTTGGCGGTCTAGCCCAGTGTGTGTGTGTGTGTGAGTGGCAGGTGCATACACAGCTCCATTGGTGCAAGTGGTGTGTCCTCCACTCACACGAGTGGTGGTCCCTTATATTCGTGCATGAAGCTCCACTCATGCAAGCGGAGAGTGTTTGTACACAAAGCTCTACTTGCATGGATCTCTGTTTG